AAAAGAAAACCGTACTTAAGGGAATTTCTGGTAAATTCGCATCGGGTCAATTGACAGCAATTATGGGTCCTTCAGGAGCTGGCAAATCTAGTTTAATGAATATTTTAACGGGATTTACGTAAGTATTTTGAAACGATTTACAAAAAAAAAAGTTTTCAAAATTTTACTTTTCATAAAATTTTTAGCAAAACTGGTGTTAGTGGCACTATTAATTTTGGCAATGCCCCCAAGGCCCGCAAATTATGCTGTTACATTATGCAAGATGATCATTTTTACAGTCTATTTACTGTCGAAGAAACTATGATGCTGGCCACTAGTTTAAAAATCTCCAGTAATTGCATGAGTTTAAAGGAGAAGAAGCTATTGGTGGGTAGATAATTGAAAAGAGGGAAATATTTAACAAATTTATTAAAAATTATTAATTCCATTTGCAGATTGAACAGATATTGGATAGATTGAAATTGTCCAATACCAAACATACACGCTGTAATCGTTTGTCTGGCGGTCAAATGAAACGTTTGTCAATAGCTTTAGAATTGATTGATAATCCTGCCATATTGTTTTTAGATGAACCCACCACGTAAGTGTTGTAAATATAAATTTTAATTTAGTTTAAAATTTTTAAATCTATGCTGATTATATATAGAGGAGAACTCAGTGACCTTGACCTCAATATTGAATTCTCGTATTTCTTACTTTTCTAAAGAAAACTGTCTTGAGAAGAGACTTTTCTAAAGAAAACTGTCTTGAGAAGACACTTTTCTATAGAAAACTGTCTTCTTAAGAAAGCTGTTCTGAAAAGAAACTTTTTTTCATGAAAACTGTTCTGAGAAGACAATTTTCTAAAGAAAACTATCTTGAGAAAACTCTTTTCTAAAGAAAACTGTCTTGAGAAAACTCTTTTCTACAAAACTGCCTTAAGATGACACTCTTCTAAAGAAAACTTACTTAAGAAGACACTATTCTAAAGAAAACTGCCTTGAGAAAACACTTTTTTAAAGAAAATTGTTTGAAGAAAACACTTTTCTTAAGAAAACTGCTTTGAGAAGTAACTCTTCTGAGAAGACACTTTTCTAAAGTTGTCTATAGAAAACTGTATTGAGAAGACACTATTCTAAAGAAAACTGTCTTGAAAAGACACTTTTCTAAAGAAAACTGTCTTGAAAAGAAAGAAAACTGTCTTTCTAAAGAAAACTGTCTTGAAAAGACACCTTTCTAAAGAAAACTGTCTTGAAAAGACACTTTTTTAAAGAAAACTGTCTTGAAAAGACACCTTTCTAAAGAAAACTGTCTAGAGAAAAGTCTATTCTTAAGAAAACTGTCTTGGGAAAATACTTTTTTTAAGAAAACTGTCTTGAGAAGACACGTGTTTAAAGAAAATAGTTTTTTTTTGTAAAGAGCGCTGTTTTACGAGGACGCATTTCTAACAAACTGTCTTGAGAAGAAACTCTTCTAAAGAAAATTTTCTTGAGAAGACACTTTTCTACAAAACTGTCTTGAGACAGTTTTCCAAAGAACACTGTCTTGAGAAAACACTTTTCTTAAGAAAACTGTTCTGAAAAAATACTTTTTTAAAGACAATCTTCTAAAAAACTGTCTTGAGAAGACACTTTTCTAAAGAAAACTATTTTAAGAAGATACCCTTCTATAGAAAATTGTCTTGAAAAGACACTCTTCTAATGAAAACTGTTCTAAAGACTTAGAAGGTACATTTCTTTAGAAGGTACATTTCTAAAGAAGTCAAGTTAGATGGGAAATAACATGAACAGATCGAAATTCAGAGATTTTATATAATTTGAATGTATCCCCTATTTTCTCTATATTTACAGAGGCCTCGATAGTTCCAGCTCATTTGATACCATTCAACTGTTACAGTTGTTGGCCAATGAGGGACGTACCATTGTTTGTACCATCCATCAACCCTCCAGCAATATATATAATCTCTTCAATCAAATTTATGTTATGAGTCGTGGCTACTGCACTTATCAAGGTAGTCCCGGAAGAACTGTGGACTATTTGAAATCAGTGGGTCTTGAGTGTCCGGCTTATCATAATCCAGCTGATTTTTGTAAGTGGATAAAACATTATAAAACATAAAAAATCTAAACTTTATTATTGCCTTCCCTTTTTTTTAGTATTGGAATGCGTTAATGGTGATTATGGGGACTATACCGATTCTTTGGCACAAGCCGCCTTATTACCACAATGGCGTCATGATTACTATGACGAACAGTCGGTATCGTCAACTTTACATAATGTACAAATTGTTAGAATGTCTGACACATCGCGACAATTTGAGGACAAGAAGAGTTTATCTCTTTCGAATGCTGTAAATAAGCATATGTATCCACCGCCCGAATGGATGCGTTTATGGTTGCTGATCGGTCGTTGTCATGTGCAAATCTTTAGAGATTGGGTATGTAAATCTTGGAAATACTGATTGAAATAATTTAATTATAGTTTTGTTTTACGTTTTGTTCAATTTCTAACTAAACCCTATTAAAATCTTTACATCAGATTAGCTCTGGAACAGATAGTTTAATTATTAGCTAGAAATCTAGATATAGAATATAATTTGTAACTTTAATTAGAAGGTGAAGTTACCTGTCAATTTGTGGTAAAACAGATAATTTACTTAATTACCCTCAGCTATGATGGGGATTTCTCAGTAAATGGCTTCTTAAGTAAAATAGATTATTAAATGAATACTGTTAAACATTACCTTTCTAATGCGTTCCGTACTAGGGTAAAGTTTTGGGTTCTGTTTTCCAATGATTGGGGCATAATGTGTTGCGGGTGTATTTTCGTTTTTTATGTGAACCTCGTTGTTTTTAAAACGCTGAGTTGTTTTCTGTATGAACATGCCTTTATTTTTGTTTAGTTCTTTGGGTTTGTTGTTTGTGGTTTTTTTTTTTTTGTATTTGTTAGTTTTTTTTAGGCAGCATTGTTTCTTTTCTTTATGGTTTTGTAGGGTCCGGTCCAGGTAATGATGGCCCAGTGGTAGGAGTTCTTTTTGTTTTGTTGAATTTCATTTTGTTTTTTTTTGATTGTTTATTTTATTATTTTCACATAGATTTTTTGTTTATGTTTGCTCAGTTTATTGTGTGGTTTAAGGTCAGCTGTTCATTACTGGAAGTCCATTATGAAAAATGAGCTTTTGCATGCAGAGTTGTATGAAAAGAGTAGAAACAAGGTTGATTTTTATAGGTAGATTTGTAGTTTATCCGAAGGAAGAGAAAAGTTAAACGATTTTTCTCTGCGAAATTTCTTGTAATGAGTTCAAGGCCATAGGAAATAAGTTAATGACCCGATGTAATCGTGAGAATTGCTTGTATGGTAATGTTATTTTTCGGTACTTGTTTTTTATGTACTAGTTTTGTTGTTTTGTAACAACTAAACGTTTTTATTTTATGTTACACGAAACATTTTTTGAAACATTAAGATCACTAAAATGGAAAACCTCAAGCTGTGAAGTATTAAGTGAACGTTACTAAGTTAAAAGCTTAAATACTTGAATTTTTTAAATTATTAAATTTTAAATTAAAAACTATTGTGAAATAATTGAAGTGATTTAATACTTATTATTATATTTATTTTATGATTTGAGACTAGAAAATTAGAGAAGAAAGTAAGTTTTGATTATACAAAGTTACGAAAGTGTTTCAATCCTGATTAATGTGGAAAGTTTTATAGAAATCCCTTTTTGCCCAGAGGAATCATATGATAAATTGCTTAAGTAAGAGTTTGAAGTGCAATTAATTGGAAAAGCTACAACACACTTTTGCGAAGTTGGAATAGGAGTCACAGAAGAACTAACGTAAGCCATTTCAGGTCAAAACAAATTGAAGAAAAAAGGTAACGAAAAGTATTTTTTTTATATAATTAACAGTGCATGTTTAAAAGTGGCATCCTAAAAGTAAAATTAAAACTTTGGTTTGGCAATAATGGAAAGCTCTATCTAAAGCTCTTTATACAGTCCTCAATTTAAGCTCACAATTAAGAGTCTAGGGTAAAAAGGGTAGCAAATTCTCAAACCCATGTTGAAAGCTTATTAATATTGAAAAACTAAAGACCCAATGGGAAATCTGATGAATATAACTGTTCTCAGTAGTGTTTAAGTTCTCAGTAGTGTTTAAGTTAGTGATTAGTTTTAAGTGTATTTAAATAACGTTTATTGTAATTTAAGTTTTTTTTTGTTTGTGAAATCGAATCATTGTGAGAGGGATCGTTAGATGTAATTTCAAATACGAGAAATCAGAAAATTAGAAAAAGTGTCTAATATTGTTTAAAATCGAGAAGTACCTCAGAGAGCTCTTTTAGGGAAAATTATTTCTTTTGTTGCATATCGGTCAGGCAGAAGATTTTGAGAGGCCTGTTTTTGTGTAATATCTGTACGATCCTATCGTAAGTTTAAGTGTCTAATTTTTTTTTTGTATGTTTATATATGTATTTATTTAGTTTGTGTTTTATGGTTTAATTTTTTTTAGTTATAAGTTTTAGTATATGATTTTTGTTTATAGAAAGTGGCAAGAATCATTTTAGGGCAATTTGTATTTATAAGAATGATTTAATAAAAAAAAAAATGCCAAGAAAATATATGTATTACATGAATTAGAATTTTAAGAATTTGTTCAGTTATTTTTTGTTGAATAAGATAGGTTTAGCTTCAAATATGTTTTAATAAATATTATATATAACAGTAATGAATAAAATTGAGTAAATACGTTATTGGGATTATTGAATGATAGGACGTGATGGACGGATTATGGGGTCCGTAAGAGAATGGTAAGGGATGTAATACGGCCATGGTTGGGATTGGGCGATTGGAGAATATCACCTTTCTCCCTATGTGTGTGTTTCGCTCTGTGTATGTTGAATACGTGTTTGATTTGCTGTTCAATTTTAAGTTATTTTGTGGCGGACCTTGGTCTTCAAAAGGGTTGAGAATCACACCCCGAGGTGATGCCGCGTGAGCTAGTAGGGTGGTGGAATCCAGAGGCCAACAGCAGGTTCGTAACAGAATATGGCGCCCAATCTGAAAATAGAATGAAAGTAATTAGTGTAGATGACCAAAACACTAGGCAATATACTACTAGAATAATTAAAATAGCCCTACGTACAATTTCCCAGATATGCTGATAAAAATGAATGGTCGCAGCCGTTTTTGTGTAGTTATTCAGAAAGTCAGTTGTGCGACAGAATTTCAGTTTTACTAGAATACTGGGTAAATTTGCACGACCTATTCAGACGAAGATATGGTGTATTCTTAGTAAATGGAATAGAATTCATTCTAAACGTTTACCATAATTCGTGTTTTGTTTATTAATTTGTATTAGTTCCGTTTGAAGTTTTTTTTTGTGGAGCAGTTGCAATGGCCACATCGACAGCCGCATTGGTTATGAAACTGGTGGTCAGTTGTGTCGATGGAAATTGTTTACTGGCCTCTGGTGATTACAGATTTAAAGTAATACTAGAGCACAGAAGAAACTGTTTAGTTATGAATGATCCTTTTTTTTTTTAACTTATTGATTTAGCGAAACATTTACATACATAGCTCAGATATAGGGAATCAAATATTATTAACCGTTAAACCGTCGCCATTCAATAATCCCTAGTTTAGTATTTTATAGCAAATTTGAATTTAAATTATATTTATTAAAATTTATTGTTTTGTTTATCTGTATTTGATCTAGTTAAATATTTGATAGTTTTGTATCGTTTTTGTTGTATTTATTTTATTATTTTTGTTTTTGGTAATTAATTATTATTATATTTTATGTTTTTTTTATTATTTTATTACTATTTTTTTTTATTAGGTATTTGTGTATGTAATCCATATATATTATAACCATTTGTTTTTAGCCAATATTATTTATCGTTATTTTTATTTTAGTTTGGTAATTTAACAAAATCCAAATAGATTTGAAATATCAAGCTGATTTGAGATATGAACAGGGAAGATAGGATACAAACAAGGAATAGGAAAAGGTCAATGCCAAATACAAATTTAAATAATTCCACGATAATTAAACGTAAGCATAGAAGATTTGATAATAATAGAATACAAATGGCTGAGAACGAAAACTTTAGGGATTTATCTGGTACTATTAATATAACATCAAATCAACCCAATAATACATCCGTTGCAAATGATGCACAGGGTCCTTCGACAAGTGTCCCAAATGTTGCCATAGGTCCTGAGGTTAGGGAATTAGTAGTGGATGAAACCTTAATAGTTCAGAGAGCTTTAGAGGAACAGGTCAAAAAAATGGTACAAGAAGAAATTAGTGAGATTAGAAAATCTGTGGGAGAGTTAACAAAAGTCGTGAGGGAAATGTCAACTCGGACTCATAACTCTGTAGATTCTCAACAATCAACTAATAATAATGTAAATGGTCCTGGAAATTCACATAGAAATGTTTTTTCAGTAGAACCACGGTTCAACTTTCAGGGCGGTCCAAATGGTTTTTGGAATAATGTAAATTATCCACGTCAAATAGGAAATAATGAAAATATTTTGCCAGCGGGAAACATTAACAGTAACACAAACGCTGATCCAATGGTGGGTAATAGGGCTACTCCAGGCAGTCATACAGCTTCTGAAAACAATAATAATGGTAATATAGAGAGAATTAATATACGCGTTGACAAATGGGGAATTATATACAATGGCAACAATTCCCAATTGAGTATTGAAGATTTCATCTTTCGAATCGAACATCTTCAGGCGCATTATAGCATTAGTTGGGACGAAATATTAAGAGATTTCCACTTACTGGTTACGGGTCCTGCTAAGGATTGGTACTGGCTACTTATCCGTACCCATGGAGTGATGAAGTGGCCAACTTTGCGCTGTGAATTGTATAATCAATATAGGACAAACACCTCGAATCTGGAAATAATAAGAGATTTGGTGGAAAGGAAGCAACAGCCAAATGAATCTCTGGAGTTGTTTTTTCAGGAAATGTGTAAAATGAGAGCTCGTCTTGTACAGCCTATTCCCGAATTTGATATGATCAAAATAATGAAAAGAAATGTCAAGGAAAGTGTGGCAAGAATTGTTTATTCTATTCCCGTCTCATCTGTGGAACAATTGCGTGTCGAATGTTTGGAAGCAGAAAGAAATTTTCTGAAAAAAGAATTACGCAACAATATTCAACAGCAAAGGCACATAAGAAGCGTAAACGAAGTCACGTTTGAAAATTTTACGGATATTGAACCGAGTTTGGAAGAAGTAGCAGCTGTACAACTAACAGGTCAAGGACAATTTTTGAAGTGCTGGAACTGCAAAATGATAGGACACGGTTTTCGCGATTGTAATTCGGCTGAGAGAACATTGTTTTGTTACCGGTGTGGCAAGCCTAACGTAATTGCACCTAAATGTCCTGATTGTCAACAGGGAAACCGGATGAGGGACTTGGGAAAGAGCGGGGACCCACGTCCACCAAAAAACCCTGCAGCGGAATGCCCATAAGACCAGATATAAAATCAACAAAAATTAGTACAATTTTAAAAAGTAAAGATTTCGAAAAATATTTACCGGAAATGAGACATATGATACCATTGGAAATGAGAAAGCAATATTATAACAAAATAAGATCAAGAATCTTCGGGGAAAACGGCGTACGGAAACCATTAACAAAACGCATTAAAAGAATTAGGGAACTTTATAAGATTAAGCGAGAAAGAAATAAGTGTATAATAGAATCATTAAGTAGAGC